GCCCCCCGCGCCCGCCGCCGTCAAGCCCACAGGTACGAGGGCCCTTTGGGGGCAGAGACGAGACGGAACCCCTCCTCCCCCTTAAAAAAAAAAAATCAAGAGGGAGCGCCTAATATTCTTTAAAAATGTAGGATTTTTTTTTTTTTTCTCCTTTTTGTTGGAGGAGACTATGGTTGTTCCCCCGCCTTGAGTGTTTTGTTAAGGGAGGCTGATCGTCACCCTTTAAGTGCTTTTTTTTAAAAAAAAAGGAGGGATAATTAACCCCTTCCTAAATTGTTTCTTTTGAGTGTGATTGCCCCCTTTTTAATCGTGTTAGGCTTTTTTTTCGGGAGGGAGTGTGATTGCTCCTCTTTAAGGGCTTTTTTTTATTTATTGTTGGAGTAAGATAGTTACCTCATTTAAGTGCTTTTTATCTGGGGAAGTAGGGTGATTCCCCCTTCAGTTTTCTCGGAGGGGGAACAGGGTTATTACCACCACTTTACTCTTTTTGGGCTGATGGTATGATGTGAAAGCCATCCCCCCTTAAGTGATTTGTGAAGGGGAGATGATTTTTCACCTTAAAAATTTGAGTTAGGAGATGTTTTTCTGCCCAGTGTAGTTTTTTTCGGGGGGGAGAAAGAGGTGATTTTCTTTCCCCTCTATTACTACCTATTATTAGTTCTGAAATAAATTTAATAAAAATTTAGTAATTAATATTAAAATATTGGTGTTTTGAGGAGTGGCAACTCCCCACTCTGTGCTTTGCAGGCAGGATATGATATTTTCCCCTAGTCTATATTATTTAGGAGTGGGGAACTGTTTGTGGCTCCTAGTGTTGTTCTGTTGCTTGGTTTTTTTCCCGGTGGAGGGTATTTAACACTCCCAGTGTGATCCCCCTGATTTTGGGGTGCAAGAAATGTCCCCATGGATGTTTTGCAGAGGGATGTGAGGTGTTTATCCCCTGAACAGTCATGGGAGGGAGGTGCCTGTGCCCCCAAGCCAGCCCTGCTGCTCCCCGTGGGGATGCTTCCCCCCTCATAGGATGAGCAGGGTGACAGCAGGACCACCCAAGTCAGGGGTGGGGATGAGTTTGGATCTGCTTCCCCGTGGCAGCTCCAAGGTGGGTGTGCTGTGCTGTTTGTTACACCCCTCCCTACCTGCCCCTTGGCCAGGAGGCTTGTGTCTGCTCGGCGCGTATGCAGACAGTGACGACGAGGAGGGCGAAACCCCGGAGAAGTCGGCCCGTTCCACGGATGCAAACGGCAATAATTCAGCAGACATCGACAGCACACTGGCAAACTTCCTGGCGGTTAGTGTGGCTCTGGAGAGTGGGAGGGGAGAGAGGGGGAAGGGGAGTGATGGCAGAAAGAGGGTAGCTTCACGGGCCGAGACATTGTTTTCTGACAACGAGTGCTTTGACTCTGCTTTTGCCTCTCCTGGGCTTTGTAGGTCATGTTGAGTTGTTGTTTTCACAGGAGATTGATGCCATCACGGCTCCTCCGCAGCCCACTGAGCCCGCCCTCGGCCACCTCCTCCGCGCCACCCCCCACACCTCCCCGCCCAGAGCCGAAGGAGTCGGGCTTGGTGCAGTCCACAGGCACCACCAACGGCGCAAGCTCTGCGCCGGCCCCAGAATGGCAGTATGACACCCAGTGCTCGCTGGCGGGAGGTGAGCACCTCATATGTCCTGGGTGTTGGCGCTGTCCCTGCTGCGCATCTCCTGGGGGGGCTGTGGTCCCCTACTTTGCTCGCCAAAGGGAGCTGAGGGTGGTGACAAATGGTGTCACCGGGGAATGGGGGGGTGACCATGGCCTGGAGAACTGATCTGATTGATGGTGGGACGCAGGCTCTGTGTGTCCTGTGGGTGATGGCCTGTCCTTGTTCCCCTTGGCAGTGGGGGAGCTGGAGATGTGGGCGACTGGCAGGAGGTGTGGGACGAGAACACCGGTTGCTACTATTACTGGAACACCCAGAGTAACGAGGTGACCTGGGAACTGCCGCAGTACTTGGCAACCCAGGTCCAGGGCCTGCAGCACTACCAGCACAGGTGGGTGAGACCCTCAGCCCCACAAGGCGAGGCACCGGGATCTTGTCCCCGAGCCCACCCTTCACTCCCTCTCCTCTTCCGGTGGCAGGAGCAAACGGCAGCTTCGTAGCGGCTGCTGAGCTGTACCCCCAGGAGAAGGGGGCTGCCCCGGGCAGTGTCAGCCGTGGGGCCAGCCTCACCAAGCGGGAGGTGAAGAAGGTCAGTTAGATGGGCCAAACACCGGGTTCTGGTTGCCACAGGGCTTGTGGGCAGCCCTTTGGGCTTCCTCGGCAGCGGGTGGGTCACTCTGCTCCATTTGCAGCCCGAAGAGGGGCCCTAAGAGTACGGGGCCGCCCAGGCTCCTTCCTCTGTGGGCTGCGGTCTCCTCTGCTGCTTGGGGAAGGTGTAGGGCTGGGGTAAGGGGGCAGGGAGCAGCGGCTGCTGCCGGAAAGCTCATGTGGGGTGCAACCTGCAGGAAGTGAACGAAGGTGTGCAGGCCCTCTCCAACAGCGAGGAGGAGAAGAAAGGAGTGGCCGCAGCCCTCCTGGCACCGCTCCTGCCCGATGTGGTGAAGGAGGAAGAGGAGCGCTGGAGAAGAAAGGTGATCTGCAAAGAGGAGGTCGAGCTGCCCATGGAAGAGGAGGTGAAAGCAGAAGAGGCGGCAGCTGCTCCTGAAGAGCAGGAGCCCACCAGAGATCCCCTAGAAGACACGTTGCAGGAGGATTTGTGCAGTGTGGTGCAGTCAGGAGAGAGTGCAGAGGAAGAGGAAGAGCAAGACACCCTCGAGCTGGAGATGGTGCTGGAGAGAAAGAAGGTAAGAATGTTTTTTGTTATGGAAATGAGGCCGCAGGTGCAGTCAAGGAATAGCTGGAAATAAACTGGTAACGGCTGACATTTGCGTCTCTGTCCTGCCTCCTTTGGGAGAGTGACCCTGTGTTTCCCGTGCTGCTCCTGTATAGGCTTGGGCTCCATATAGGTCTGGGCACAGATCAGCCACACCTTCATGTGGACGTTCTGCTGGCAAGTCAGCAGCAGTCGGCAAACTCTTGCTCTGTCTTTGCTGCTTTTAACACGGTGCCCTCGTTGGAGCAGCTCTTCTGTCACTGGTGACTCGTAACTGCAGCAGCTCTTCAGGAGAAACTCGGGTCCCTGAAGTGCCACTTGCTGTCGTGTCTCTTGGCAGGCGGAGCTGCGTGCCTTGGAGGAAGGCGATGGCAGTGTTTCGGGCTCCAGCCCGCTCTCTGATGGGAGCCAGTCGGCCTCGCAGGATGCAACCCGCAGGCTGGCCTCCAAGCGAGGGAAATGGAAACTGTTTGTTGGAGCCGCCAGCCCTGAATCTGCAAGTCGAGGCTCCAGCAAAACAGGACGGGAGAGCCCGGAAGCAGGAGAAGCAGGTAATTGAAAAGGCTCCTTTTGGAGGGAGGAGAGGGTGTTTGGGAAGGCCACAGCCCTCTCCTGCTGGCGTCTCCTTTCCCCAAAGACACATGGGGCACCTGGAGCCTGTGGAGCCCCACACTGCACATAGAGGAGCCAGGACAGGCGGAAAGGTACGTGTGTCGGGCAGGGGACAGGCCCAGAGTGGTGGCTGTCACACTCAGTCGAGCTCACAGGCCGGCAGCACGAGTCTCGCAAGCTCAGGGCAAAGCAGGGATAAGCTGACACTCTGCCAAACTCTCTCCTTTATCCTATAATTAAACAGTGCCTACATTCAACACTGTATCAGGAAAATAAATAGGAGCGTGCCTATGCTCAACGCTTTATCAGGAGGAGGAACACAGAAGGGTGATAACGGCTGCTTTGCGCCCCACTGCCTTCCGCTTTCCTCCCGACCTTATAAATCCTAACCGTGGTGCGTGGGGAACTGTTACCTTCCTCTTTTCGAGTTGTGTTTCTGAGGCACCTGGTAACAGTCGCCACATTTCGAACAAGTGAAATGTTCCCCGAGAGCTGCTCTGGCTCTGCACTTGGTGTGTAGGAAATGTAAGGCAGGACCTCCCTGTAAGGAAGACCTCATTCACATGAGGGTTGTTACATGCCAGATGTGTGCTGGATATTTCACTTGAGCCTGCGCTTCGCTGGCTGTTACTGCGCTGACCCTCCCGTCCTCCCCAACTCCTCCAGAGCTGCACTCCCCAAAATGTGCTGGCCACAGCATTCGAGAGAACAACCCGCACCTGGCAGCCCTGACTCCCAGATGTGCCAGTCCTGCCCCAGCACAAGGCTTCAGGCCAGCTGCCTGCCTTGTGGCAAAGAGAGGGAGGCAGCCCCTCTGCCACAGAAAGCTGGCTGAATGAGAGACGATTGCTTTTCCCAGGAAAA